CCTCTGCTTTATTTTCTCCTTTTTTTTTTTTTTTTGGTTGGGGGTTATTACTTGGAACAGTAGACAGACGTCTGGCTGAAATGATGCATATTTATGAAACACTGAGGTGGAGGGATAGCCAGGTGGGCTGAGAGATGATGAAAGAACATGGTACAGAGAGAAAGAGAGGAGAGTCATAAAAATAAATAAATAAATAAAAAGCAAAGGCAGACAACAAAAGAAACTGGCAGCAGATACAAGACAGACAATGATCAGTGAGGTGTCCTTGCAAGTGTTTGGTCTTGAGACAGCTCAAGAGTAAACACAACCGTCTCAGTATTTGATTCTGCCTCCTCCCCAATGAGCAGAACATTTATTCTGCTGCTTTTTTCTCTGCTTTTATGTGCTTTCTCTTCAGGTTTTCTCTATAATTCAGCCTTGTTACTGCTGGTATGCTCAGACCGCCCTTCACGTTGCTCCTCGAACACACACACACACACACACACACACATGCACACGATTAACAAGCAGAAAACCAAGAACTGTAGCGCAGCAGTTCAAAACACCAATATTAATATTTCAGACCATCGGGGGAAATGATCAGCTATGATGAATAAARCAAAAAGACTAATGGATCCGAGCGAGTCCGGGGAGCATCAGTGAGCTGACAGAAATCTAGCAATAAAGCAGAATACAATCCTTTACTGTCAAAAAGCAACTGGAAAACCAATTAACACAACTTGACTACTAATTTTGTTTAGTAATCTTAGCATCACTGCTTTTTATTAAAACATAATTCAAGAATATAGGAAATGTGTTTCAGAGTCAAAGCTTAAACTTATTTGGACCTTAATGTCCTCGTTTTATTTAATTTTGACACAAAGATAGGCAGAAATTATTTGTCTTTGAATTTTGTCGTAATTACGGTTTAAAATATTTAAAGTATAAATCCCAATTTCAACTCAGGACAAAACACCTGTTTTACTTCTTTAAATGTACATTGATAGAAATGAAGATCTGTTCAAATAAACTAGACTACTTACTTAATAAACTACTTGTTAAAGTTTGCAAATCAACCTTATTTGGGTCTGAGCCTTTTGATTGTATGAATGCTGAGTCAGCATGCACACTATTGTTTTCCTGTTTATTGTTCCTTCTAAATCTTTATTGTAATACAACCACTGCAGCTGTTTTATGCTGTTTCAACCCTTCATAAATTAAAATGTTTGGCTCGATTGGAAATAGTAAGACCTTTAATATTTATAACTTTTATATTTTTGGGCTATATTCACATTTTCTCCATAGAAATATAAGGAGATCTCTTTCAATCCCTGAAAAATATTATTCTCTGAAATTTATTTCCATCAGTTCTTGTCCTTTGCTGCCCTCATCCTTTAGTTATATTTTTGCTCATGTTAGCTTTCAGTTTTGGTTGACTAATTTTAGCCTTGTTGATTTTAGCTTCTGTTTGGTTTAACCTTTGTTCTTCAGCAACTTTCTTTAGTCACTCATCATTCACACCGTAAAAAATTGATTTGTTTAATTTTGTCAAATCTTTGCAAAACAGTATTTAGTTTGTGACAAAAGGCAAGGGAAATAAGGAGCTTGTGCACTTTGTCTTGTCTTTAAGTTAACTAAAGAGTGTCTGTGTGAATAAAATATCAAATGTTTGAGATTTTCATTTAAGACCAAATCATCCAATAAAACTTTGCTTCTAAAGAAAAAAATAGCATAACGTTATCCTGCCTTTCCAGTGCTTCACATTTTGACTTTTACTGATAAATTGACAASTAAGGAGGTGGACGTTTCATCACACCGAGCGCAGTCAGAGCCTGGTTATGAAGAATAAAATCTGCAGAGATGAAGGCAGGTATATTTCCCCAAGACATAAAAGTGAGCCTGATGGCTATCCATGTGACCGCCCGCGTTTTATGAGTACATTAAATAACCCACTGACTAACACAGAAAACAGGCAAAATGTGAGAATCAGGCCATTAATAACAGGCATAAACCCAGAAAAAAATGTACTGTGCTATCTGTGCTGTGCAGCGGAGCGCAGATCAGTTGGTAGATTCATGTTCGGAGCAGGAGTGTGTGTGTGTGTGTGTGTGTGTGGGGGGGGGGGGTCCTGTTTCAGCATGCAGAACTGGGAGTGGAAGAGTTAGAATGGAGCACTTGATTTTGATTTGGAAAAAATAAATCAAACTTTTTTAATTGTAGCAAGTTCAGCTCCTGGAACCTACTTTATTTTCTAGAAATTTGGTCATTTGGTTGGAACTGAAATACAAACTCGCTTTAAAATAACATTAGCATTAATTTGTTGTATAGAAAAAAAGAAGATGTGTCTTAAAGAATATAAAATACTTATTGTTTTCATTAAATATTGTCTAATCTAATCTAGAATTAGTTTCACAATTTCATAGCTGAGTTGCTAAATGTTTGAATTGCATCATTTAATTACTGGTATTAGGAGCTGCTGAAAAAACGGGTGGTTATCTCAACAAAAACATCATTCAGTAAAATATGCAGCTGACTCTACTCTACTATCAAGCATTTGTACCAGTCTTGATGATCCCTGTGATATAATTTTAGTGTAAACAACTCATTTAAAAACAATTGTTTGGAATTCTGAACTTCTATGCAGATGTCTGTAGTCAATATCTTACCTGCAGGAGGCAGCTGTTTAAATAATCTTAATTTGGAAAATCAAAGACAAAATCTCATGAAAGAGTCAAGCTAACAGCTAATCTGACTGTGGTCTCATAAAGTGTGGATTTTAGCCTTTGTTYATTTCAGCTCAAACCTCAAACATTTGGTTAAAGTGAACTCTTATATGAACGTCTTCATTGCATCACTTTTGCATCAGATGGTTCATTATGTAAAAAACTGGTTGTGTTGGAACATATCCTGCTGTGTATTGCAACATATTTCATGTAAGCACGTATTAATAAACTGTTTGGTTTGTTGCAARCATTTTAATTATTATTTTGGGCAAAGAAGGGAGAAAAAATAAGAACATACAYGGAAAAAATTAATTAAATTAAGTTAAAAGTGCACAAATATTAATACACTTTTATATGTATAGCTCACCTCAAAAAGGAGTGGGAGGATGTACATATTTATTTGACTCCACCCCTTCACTATTAGTTATCAAYGTTTACTAATCCAATTCCTTATTAACACAACCACTAATGGAAATAATAGAAATATTCAAATAATATTTCTTAACGCAGGCTATTGTCTTATTTTTATGTATATTTATAATTYCTAAAAATAATCTATTAATATTTTCTTTTAAACAATCTTATGTTTGAACATTGTTTTAACTCCACACACAGAAACACAAAGATTGTTTCTCACAGTGTGCACAATAACAACTTTGAACTGACAAATGCCCCTTAAACTTAACTTCCTTRCAGAAAAAGAAATATATTTTCTTCATCAGCTCTGTACAAAATTTGTAGTGTTTGGAACTTTATCAGAAAGAAATTCAGTATTTTGACCTGATGGTTTTTATGATCCCTGTAACTTGCATTGAGACTGATACAAACTTCTTTTTTCTGGAGAGTACAAAGGTTAATGTAATGTTTTATAATTACTACTCCAAATTTCTGCACAGTAGCTTAAATAAGGTGAAACTAGTGAAACTTTGACTAGTTATGAACTTAATTATTTCATTTTATTCCCTACTCTTTCTGTTTTCTGCTGCAGGTAAGATACTGACAAATATTCTCTACTCAAAATACTTCATTCAATCCAACTATTACTTTATTAAAACTGTCTTGTAAATATTTGTATTCGTCAACATTCATGGACCCCAGCTGGTTTTTTCCCCATTTCTTAGTTTAAAATGCAGATTAAAACAATTCAAACTCTGTTATTAAGAACTTATTTAATTATTAAAAGTGATAGCAGATAACTCTCAGCCATATCAAAGCAGTTAATGTGGTTTTGTGTGTAAGTTGTTAGTTCTGCTTTGGGGGATCACTGACAACGCCTAACAAAAATCACATATTAGATTTTATTCTTTTTACACCATTTTTGCTTAAGGCTAATTTTAAAAAAGCATTAAAGTTTTATTTCACAAACATCTAAAACATAAAATGACTGATGGAATGACTGGGTTTAACTGTTTCAGTCAGTTTAGCAACAAAGATTGTGCCTGAGTGAAACCAGTAAAAAGTGTAGGGAGTGCTTTTATATTTGCTCATTTTTAGCATTAAAAGATAATAATCTGCAGCCAATATTGACCGGCTTCAAGCCTCTGGTGATAATGTGAGTTTCAGCTGAAATGAGAAGTCTTTATGAACAATAAAAACTGCAAATGAATATGACAGTTTAACAGGCGAGCTCAGATTAGAGTGCATAATGAAATGACCGGTTGTCTCTCAGACAGCCTGTGTGGGAGCAACTCATTATTTCTGCTCTCTGAGAATTATTCCAAAATATAACTTAAAGTCTAACTGGATAAATATTCAACTAACTAAATTTTTAATAGTGCCTATAAACATATTGACATACAGTAATTTACAATAATAAGAGGAATGCATTGATTTGCTGTCGTAGTTCACACGTTTGGTCGCTGACRATGAATGTTCCACATTTCACCAGTTCCAGTTGCTGAAGAATTGTTCAATTCTTGTGGAATCACTAGCAGATACATCTCACTATAAATTCTCCATTTGTTTGAGGAAATGCCTCACATAAAACAAAACTACACTCTTCAGGTAAACAGATTTATCAGGCTGAAGTGTGCTACAGTCACAGGAATGATGCAATCTGCTGCACCGAACCATCAAAATTCATSCGGTGAAGCGCCTCAGGCAGCGGTTGGCAGGAATGAAATGTTTGCAGTGGTACTTTAAAACAGGTTGAAACTCATGCCACTGCGAGAGAAGCAAGAAGATGCACGATGTTTCAGAAAYTGATCCAATAAAATGGAATAATTACGCCTCTGGGCTCTTTCATGTCTTCATTTTTGCAATAAAATAATAGTTCCTATATGTGTGTTTCTTTAAAAGGTTGGAGGTCACACCATGCTGCCCATCCGCTGGATGCCCCCTGAAAGCATCATGTACAGGAAGTTCACAACAGAAAGTGATGTTTGGAGTCTAGGAGTTGTCCTCTGGGAGATCTTCACCTATGGAAAACAACCGTGGTACCAGCTCTCCAACAATGAGGTACAAAACGCTTTATTTCATTTTTTTTTATATAAACTACTTTAAAATATGTGATATGTGATCCATTATCAACACAATCTTACCTTTATAAACTATCAAATAAAAAGCAGTAAAAGTGTGAGTTTATTTCAAGGCAATGGACCTCATGCAAGAACATTTTCGTATTTCTTATCCTAAATTTCTCTAACTTTTTTTTGTGCAAATGGTCGTATGARCGTGCCACATCAGATTCAGCAAATGCTTCTAACTTAAGGAAATGTGTAAATGAGCAGCRTAAACATAATGAATGCCACCTGTACAAATACAGGTGCTCGTGCACGAGGAGAGGAAATTAGCATAATTACCGCCCCAATAATACCAAATAAGGCTACACTTCCTGCCTCACATAGCAGGAAGTGTTCATTCATTAAAATGGCAGCGAAAAGTAAAAAGAAGAACTTCATGACATTGGTTATTGAAGTCCTGCTCTCAGAGATACAGAAAATCTGTTATTTTTAGCRGCGTCAGCTGTAGAATTAAAGGACCTGCTAAAGCCAAGGAATGAAGTGATGACTGCTGTATACTGCTAAATAGTCATTGTTATATTTTATACTTTCTTGTTTCTTGAATGTCTCCAAAATATGTCTGGCACTTTGGAAAAATAATGGCAGTCAGTCTTGCATAGCTGATGTGCTGAATAAATCTCAACAAAATAAAATTTGATTAAAAAAATATGATCTACTGTACAGTATGTCTAAATAAAGCTGTTGATGTTCACCTCCCATTGACTTCATGACCGAAACAAATTAAACTTCAATTAATATTATTTAATTGAAGCAGGTTTATAGTTTGAGATCTTCATATTAATATTGTGGTGTTAGTAGCATAAATAGACAATTTAAATTATATCATTAGGCTACATTAATACATTTAAAATTATAATTCCAATTCAAATAGAATAGTTTATTGTCAACATAATTATGGAGTGTGATTTATTTTCAACTCAAAATCTCTTCAAACTAATGAAATATAAAGTTATTAGTGAATAAAATCTATCTTGATAACAGCAGACTGACTGCATGTAAAATATACGACAGGTCTGGACCACACGTGAATTTTGCTTGTGTCTGAAAAAAATCTTACAATACGAGAAAATTGGTGAATGCGACAAGTTCTAAATCACTCATATGCACAACTTAAGAACAAATCTGTCCATATGAACGGTTCTTGCATGAGGCCCATTGTCTTATATACCGAGAGGTCTATTGTGATTATAAATTAAACACAGGAAGCAGCAACAAATAACTTTAATTAGAACTAAAGGTGCTGAGGAAAAACAATATGTCTGTTGAACACAATAAACTCCCATTAATCTAAAATGCATAACTTAAAGGGATCCCCGATTAGTTGTAACAATAAACTTTATTTGATAAACAATTATTTTAACTGTAGAATAAAGACTGTAAAAATACTGTAGGCTGTTTAGTTTTTACAATTTTTAAATCAAAAATTTAAAATATATATTACATGGATGGGGCCATTTTATATACACGCAAAGCATTATGGGTAAAAGACGACGTGGATAGGTCATCGTTGTGAGGCTGCTAGCGAGCTATATCCACCCTGAAGATTAATCTTGGACAATATCTGATGATCGACTCTTTTAAATGAAACCAGAGAGCACTGACAGAGAGGAAAAGGTAGAAATGACTCAGCCTGTAACTGAAAATATGGATGGAGGACCTCAGTTTAGCTTGTTTGTCGCGCTAGCACCGAGCTAATACATATAAGGCAATATAACGTCGGTGCTAGGACAGAGGCTAACAGGCTAAGCTGAGGTTCTTCTTCCATGAAGCAGCTCTGTTGTCCTCCATCYATATTTTCAGTTACAGGCTGAGTCATTTCTACCTTCTCCTCTCTGTCAACGCTCTCTGGTTTCATTTAAAAGAGTCGATCATCAGATATTGTCCAAGATTAACCTTCAGGGTGGATATAGCTCACTCACACCGAGGACCTATCCACGTCATCATTTACCCAGAATGCTTTGTGTGTAAATAAAATGGCTCTGTCCGTGTTAAAATATATTTTTAAAAAGTTATAAAAACTAAACAGCCTACAGTATTTTTACAGTCTTTATTTTACAGTTAAAATATAAGTTTATCAAATAAAGTCTAATGTTACAACTAATCAGGGAWCCCTTTAAGCCAGTCCAGACAGGAGGGGCAGAGGAGGAAGGGTCTAAGCTAACGAGACACAGGTGAAAACAATCAGAGTCAGATCAGCAGGAGCACAAAAACTAGAATTAACTAATAAAACATCAACAAAGAACTAATAGGAAAYAGCCCTAAATTAGCCTTAAAAATACATGTATTCATATATGTCAGCCCCTTTGGATGCTTACTTGTATCTTAACCCTTAAAAATCTGTAATTTTCACCAAAAATCTGTATTACTCCCATGCAAGTTTTTGACAAAAGCATCAATAAACCTGCTAAATGAGGGGAAATCTGTTTAATATACAAACAATCCAAACAAAACGATATGCATGTTTATTAAATAAAACTAGAATAACCTAGTTCATCAGCTCCATTTTATATAGACCCCAACTGTATTATTTAAATGTGAAAAAGAAGAATTTAAAAGCATGATGTGCATTCTTTAACATAAAACCCTTGCCAATTATTTTATCACTTAATTACGTGACAGAGATGACTCTCAGCTAATAACACACCAAGTTTTAGCTCAATATCTGCATAACTGACAGATTTATAATCACTTTTGTGTTTGCTAAGTTTGATTAGCTGTCGCAGACAGCTTGAATTGAAGWGAATCCAAAAGTTGATCAGTTTCAGTGAGACATTCAGTGATCACTTTCTGAGAGACTCATTAAAATTGGTCCAGTGGTCAATGACATGTTTTGCTAACAGACAAAGACAAATGAACCCACACACAAAACTGTTGCCTTTCTTGCCTGCAGGAGATAAATATAACATCCAAATATCTACAGACCTTGACACTAAAAGCAAGCTATAGTAACAATCAGTAAAAAAATAAAATAAAACAGAACCCTCAATGGAAATAAACCTCGATGCGTAATTAGTAATTCTGTACAAAAATGCGATGATTAAATGAGTCCGGGTCATTTCTCAACCTCACATAAAATTACAAGCTCTGCGAGCTGTTTCTGATCTGATGCTGTGGCTGCAACAGATTAGGGAGCAAAGCGTTTTCCTGACACCTGAAAAGGAGCACAGCTGCACTGAGTTATTATCTTTAGTTGTTTTGCAAGTTGTGCTTTGATAATTACTCACAGTAACATAAAGTGAAATGGTCTGTTGTCAGAGATCAGTGCTGAAATAATTGGGGAGGAAGATAGGTTTTCATTTTGGAGTGGAACGTGAAACCATGTTTTATAAAAATAAATAAAATATCTTCCTGATTTTTGGGGTTTGTTTAGTAACAAATCAAATGGACTGCAATGTAAAAACAAGACAACATTTGAAAGTTCATACTTGGACGGTTGTATTTTACATAAAGCAAAATATGAAACTACTGCAGAAACTGTTTTACCTCATTATAACAATTTTTGATAAATGACAGAATTGAGTTTTTTCGCTCAGGATTTTTTCCTTTCAGATTTTTAGTTCTTAGAGAACCTAAAAATAAACAACAACTTCCCAAACAACCTCTTTGCTTAAATCAAGAAGATTTTAGTGATATCAATTGATCTAATAAGGCAACAGTAACACAACAATAGCACTCTATGCTGCATTAAACAGCATTAAAACATATCACCTAATACAGGGGTGCCCAAACATTTTTCCTGAGAGGGCCAAAATTAAAAAACATTTTCCCTGAAAGGGCCAAAATTCTAATCAGTCTGAGGGCCACAGGCCAAATGCAATAATATATGAAATGCAAAGTAAAGTTGTTTTATTTTTAAGATTAAGTTATCAGCCAGTGTGGTTGCCCACATTTTTTTTATTTTCAGCCCATGGACATGGAGAAAAATCAACGTATCCTCAGGCAGCAAAGGCTCATGGGACTTTTCACATTTAAAATTTTAGYATATGTAGTCTTATAAGGTGTGCAAATCTAGATACGGGCTTAAATTTAATCTAAATGTCTCAATCTAAKAACTAAGACAACTGCTGRTGGGCCAAATCAAGTGGCCTGGTGGGCCAGTTTTGGCCCGCGGGCCCCGCTTTGGACACCACTGACCTAATAAGTACTACAAGTACAACACAGAGCTGCTAAAAACCATAAAAATAAGAGTTCCACTCACTGTTGATGTAAGGATCAGCCGTGTTGAAACGATAATGTCACACACTGCAACTCAAAGGGCGTTCCAGCTGTAGCTTACTACTCCTCCAAGTCAGAAATATCAACGGGAACACAGCATAACGTTTAGATCCAACCCAATTAAAGYCAGCTGCCACAGCTAATCAAACCTAATAAACACATACATGTTTTTAACTTGGTCAGTTTTACAGATATTGAGCTAAAATTTGGTGTAGCTGTAGCTGAGCATCCTCCCCAACTTTGACTGTGAACACATCTTGCAAGATTTTGTAGGAGATTGTGAACCTAAWAGCAGTGATGTGCAGATCGATACTGAAATATCGATACTATCGATACCAGAACTTTATGTTCTAGAATCGATACTAAACTCAAAATATCGATACTTTGATACTTTAGTTATTTCACATCTATATCATTAACAGGAAAATAGTAGAAAATAGTAGAAAATAACTAAACTATTCCAATCTTGTCTTTATTATATGTGGTGGGAGGGAACTACTTTTCCTTCCACTTGGGTGGATAAGCACAATGGCACATGCTCAGTCAGTCACTCAGTCTGTAGATGTATGGCAAGTCATTTTAACATAAAATCGACTTCGTCTGTAATTAAATTCTAGATGAGGGGTTCCCAAACTTTTTGCCTCCCAAACAGCATTAACTCTGGCCAGGGACCTAATTGCAAACCCACAAACAATGCTACAAAATATACAAAGTAACAACTTTTAGAATATTTTCTCACATTTATTCATCCATCCATCCATCCATTTTCTGTACACGCTTCTTCCTTTTCAGGGTTGCGTGGGTCACTGGTGCCCATATCCAGCAGTCACAGTGCGAGGGGCGGGGTACACCCTGGACAGGTCGCAAGTCCATCACAGGGACACACATAGAGACAAACGAGACAAACAACCATTCACTCTCTCACTCACACCTAGGGACAATTTAGAGTTATCAATTAACCTAATAGTCATGTTTTTGGTGTGTGGGAGGAAGCCGGAGTACCCGGAGAGAACCCACGCATGCACGGAGAGAACATGCAAACTCTACCCAGAAAGGTCCCCGGACCGGGATTTGAACCGGTTACCTTCTTGCTGAGAGGCATCAGCTCTACCAACTGAGCCACCGTGCCGCCCGCATTTATTTATATCACATTTATTCATTATTCAAAAATTCTTATATTTCTTTAGAATAAGAATTGTAAATTGTGCTAAACAAATGTAGGGTTAGGGTTAGAAAGACTTTTGAATTAATAAATAAATTACTATGTCGTGCATTATTTACAAAGCGGTTATTTGAAAAACGCTACTTTTTAAGATTTAGCAGACACATTATTTGTGTTATCACAAAGTATCAGTATCGGATCGGTATCACCAATACAAGCCAAATTTTACTTGGTATTGGTATCGGAAAGAAAATTGGCRGTATCGAACATCACTACCTAATAGTAAGAAAAACAATTTCCTAAACAACCAATTTGCTCAAATCACCTTTTCTTATATAATGAGACGTCCACTCAGCTTTACTTCTGATGRCAAGGAAATGACAAAGAAATTACTGGATGTAAGAAAATAAAAAGAAAAGAACACAGCTGTCTCATAGCTCCTTAACCCTTCCCTTAAACTCTGTCCTCACCAGCCTGAACCTAATGATGCTCTCAGTTCGAGCTACATCCAAGAATTAACCTTTTTAACACTGATCAGGTCTTCTTTTCTCATAAACAACCAGCAAGTCTCCTCTTTCGCAGGTCGCTCACCTCCTCGACCCTGAATCTGATATCTCTCCCACAAAACCAGGAGTTTTTCCTCCATAACTAGATATCAATTACTCATCTGCTCACACGAGCTGATAGCAATCACGGAATGAGGAGGAGTAGCTTTGCTTGATTGCTCGCCTAAATGACAACTTTCAAACAGATTGGATCCCTGATATCCAGCAATTTGTAAGCCACAGCTGTTTCTGGCGGCTTAATAAAAGCCATTAAGTGGCGTTCGTTCCATGAGCACAGCAGGGYGTGCTTAATGTTTGAGGAAATTATAACAGGCTTATGTTATGGCCTGGCAAAAATGTAGGTAATTTACAAGTAGATGTGAGGAAATAAGGCCTTTACTTTCCTTCAGCTACACGTCTTCATTTCTACTTAAACTCTCAGTCCTATTTGTTAATAATTAGTATTAAAGACTCGATGCACAAGTTGTGACTAAGACTTTCTCAGTTTGCTTCATWCGGCTGTTCCTCTGCATAACACCTTGGGCTTTAGCAAATAATTTATTTACGGTGACATTTCCAGGCGTATGCAAGGTGACACMGTTTTTACAGAAGATATTTATCAAAGAAGCACTGAACTTTGTGGAAAGTGGCGAATTTCACCCCGGCCGCTGGCCGAGACGGTGGCAGAAATCGAAGGCCACGTCTGCATTTCTGTCTTTTCTGCTTCTTCCTTCTGCAGGTGATCGAGTGTATAACTCAAGGTCGGGTGCTGCAGCGTCCCCGGACCTGTCCCAAAGAGGTGTACGACCTGATGCTGGGCTGCTGGCAGAGGGAGCCACACATGAGACTCAACATTAAAGAAATCCACAGTCTGCTACTTAATCTGGCCAAGGCCTCGCCCGTATACCTGGATATTCTGGGCTGAACACGGCGGCGGGATGAAAAGGAGTTTTGAACGTGTGTGTGACGTGTGTGGTCTGTATGTGGATTTAAAGTTGCATGTGTGTGCGTGAAGAAGCCCAGCAGGGCATTGTAACCCTTCAAACTGAAGTGTTTGATGCACATGCAGGTGTGTGTGTGTGAGTGTGTGTATGTGTGTGTGTACAGGATGTGAAGCTCTCTTCAAGGCAATCAGACAATTCTTCAACTCATCCCCAATTGCTTCTCTCCTCCCRGCCAATTTCCTCTCCTTTCTGCAATCCAACTTTCCTCCCTGAAGAGACTTTTATGTAAAGTGACGCTTTAAACTTACTGGGGCTATATTGTACAAAAAAAAAAAAAAAAAAAAGAAACAAAGAAAGAAACTAAACAAAAAATAAAAACTGATCAAAAGAAATTAAATGAAGAGACTTATCCCTTGCTGCCTGTCAGACACCAGGACATGTTGGAGCATCTGGGAAGCTCAAGCAGGCGCAGCAAGAGGGAGGATTTCCAGACGCTCCCATCGCTTTGCTTTGTAAATAAGAGACTACATTTTCAGAAGGAAAACGATCCGCAACGAGACACTGTGTTTCTTCTCTCACTCTGTCTGTCTGTCCGCCCGTCTGTCTTTCAGTCTCTTTAGAACGCTACGTCCATGTTTTCCTCAGCGTTCAACCAGCAAGGCGACCCGCGAGTGCGACGACCGACACATTAGTATGCGTACGGTAAATTGAGTGCAACGCAGCGATGGCCAGGGGAGAGAAAAAAAAGGGCGGAAGTGTAAACACAATCTGCTTTCCTGCCTGTCAGACGAAATTAGGAGGTGTGATGAAAAGATAATTTCGGGTTGGCCAATTTTTGCTGATGCAGAAAAACAATCAGCGACAACACAGCTGCAGCCAAGGCTTTTAAGGACCGCCGTGACAAAAGGATTAAAAAAAACGGGGGGAAGGCAGTCTGTGATTTAAGGCTCATCCACGTCTGCATGCTGCATTTTACCACTGTTATCTGTTTGCATTTTACTTTCCTCAGGCCTGGACTGCACAGGGTAACATGAAGACTAACCCCACCCCCCTCCCCTCTATAACTCCTAAGTGGCAGATGCCCCACTTGTGATGTCAAGCGCTCGTGTCGGAGGTCAATTGATTCACTTGTCCACAGCTGTCCAACAATCGCGAGATCATAGTGAAAGTCCGGGGGGTGGGTCTAAGTGGGATTTGGAGTGGGGGGGCATAACGGCTGCTGAGGGACTTTAGGTTTTGAGTGGTCGGATCTTGGTCAGATGTGCGGGTGGCGGCGCTGTTGAAGGTGTGGTTCGTTTGGTCAACCCCTATTAAATCATCAAGGCTCTCAGCACTCAGACGTTCTCGAAAACCACATCTGCATTAGAGGGGGGCCGAAAAAAAAAAACTCACACGCGCACCCTCCCACTCACCGAAAGACACTCAAAACGGGGCAGAGAAGGAAATTGAATTGTACATGTTTTATTATTTGAGCGGTGCAGTGCTTTAGCTGAGGCCCCCCTGTCCTCTGTAATGGTGTAATGTATATTTCATTACAGCCTAATGGGCTCCATTAGCACAGTCTCCTCACAGACATTCAAGACTTATTGTTTTATGGCCGAGAAGGAGAAGATGGAGGGATGGGAAGGGTAGGCGAGGTGAAGGAGGAGAAAACAAAGTGAGGAGCAGTGATGGGGAGGAATACGAGCAGAGGTAATAATARCGCGCGTATTGGGACGGAATGGAGGGGAAGCGCGCCAGAATGGAAGCAGGGAGGTATACAGAGAGGGAATAAAGGGACGGAGGAGAAAGTTGATGGAGGAGATGGAAGTAGGGGGGCAGGCGAGAGGTGAGGAACGTCCTCGGGGAGAAAAGACGAGTGAACATCCATCATTAATGTGGCCAGCAGATGTTTTGCTAGCCACAACTTCAACTTTTACGCTCCCTTCACATTCCTACAGCCACACACACAAACACACACACAAACACACACACATTTTACTGGCAATCCGTGCACACTGAAGACGACTTTAACACACATCCCTGTTATTGAAAACCACTTCACTCACTCACAGCTCTCGCTTACTGTATATACAGCTCATATGCATGCAGGAAAACACATTTAATGTTTGTTTTTGGCATTTTACTGGCGCATATTTTACTCTAACAAAACTTTAATCTCTGCTCACACACTAACAGCCATTTGAGTTAGATGTAGAGCAACAACTTGGAGGAGTAGGTCTGTATTGTTACTTAACAGCACTTGATGATATTGATGTTTGTGGATTAGATTTCCAGTTTTATTTATAAATGACGAAGCATTTTGTACATTTCTTTCTATATTTAAGGTTGCCTTTTTTTATTTGCAACAGCGACGGAAGTTTGTGAGATAATTCTGGGTTGCGGATGTGTTTTTATGTCACGCTCCCTGTTACAGTAACGACCACCGAGCCTGTCCTTGTGGACGCCGTCCTCTACAGCAGGGACGGATCCGTCGCCTGTTCGTCCCATTCTGGAAGTCAGTTTTGACATGTTGCTAAAAAAAAGAAATGATGTCCCCCCTGTGTGAGTGTAAACAGGAGAGGCCATGGCTGCGGTGTTAACAAGGTCCTCAAAATCCGTCCCTGCTGTACGGCGAGCTTGCACTGGAACGCTTTTCACAAAAGTTACATGTCTGTGCAATAACAGAGGGCAGGGTGTGTGTGTGTGTGTGTGTGAGCTGGACAAAAACTGTGAGAAATAATTTTAGTGTGTATGAACTCCTCTGATGTCAAAAGAGTACCTTGAAGCAGCTTCCCAGCACTGTCTGTGTACGTACCTGCTGTGTTTTCCTCCTTTTTTTATTTATTTATTTTTTAAATTATGAACTGTGACAAGTTGAACAGATTTGGTGTTTTTAACAGTTTGGTTAAAAAGTCTGAGAGAGGGATACTTGTTATGAAGAAGACTGATCAGCTGTCTTCACATCAACACCTCTGAATAAAAAATCCCAGTAAAATGAGGAAATAAAAAACCTACATCTGCTGTGCGACTGGAAACCTCAGACAGGAAGGACTGACAATCACAGACTCCTCTCTTTCTCTCTTTTATTCAAGTGACCTACTGTATGATAGATTATTCAACCAACTTTCTTCTTCTATGCTGCCTATACTGTACGTGATCGTCTCAGACTCTGGTCCTTAGAAGTGCTACTTTTCTCCTTTCTTCTTCYTTTTTTTWAATTTTGTTACTTTTGTTTTGTAAACTTAAATAACAGCGAGAGGAATGACAATTTCATGTAAAAAAAAATGTGAATAAGCTGCTGGAAGATTTAAAACATTGTAAGATGCTCTGTTCCAGACTGTGTCAGCATCCAGACTGAACTATTCTCTTCGTTCATCTCAGAAGCCGGGAGCAGATAGATTGGAAGCAATGCGGGACTCACTGAACTCAACAAAATGACATAAAGCAGCCCCCGGGATGCTGAGCGATATTTGCTCATTCTTTAGTGGTTGTGTGTGTGTGAGTGTATGTGTGTGTGTGTGAGAGAGAGAGGGAGAACAGCTGACTGAACCTGGAGCGATTCAAGCAAAGGTCTGTCAGCTGTTTTCTGCTAAATCCAAGCTCAAATATAATAAGATTCATCCCACAAATCAGCAATAGTTTTACTGTTGCTGTTTGTAAACGCGTGGTAAATAAGTCTCGTAGGACTGTGATCGGATTTATGGCAGCTAAGATTTACGGAATCAATCAATTGCTTTGTTTATGACACCAGAGTCTTCTTCTCTACACAACTTGGTAAAAATATTAATAATAATAATAATAAAGGGGCTGGGCTTCACGCAGGTATATCAGCAATACTGATACAAATTTTCCCTCGTTCTGTTTTTGTGTATTTTTGGGGCTAAACCATGCGACTCAGTCAAGYAAAGCATATTCTACATACACTAGACACACATCACAACTTTAGCTGTGTTATGATCCATATCATATTTAATCCTCCGTCTCTCAGAATCCCCCCGACATCAGACTCCGATCCAATCGAGCTGAAATCTCGCAAAGGTCATCTCTGAGATTACTTTTGTGCTTGGATGCTTCTGGAGTTGGAATGCCTTGAAGAATGTAATAACATGAAAACTACTCCTCTGCAAAGAAAAAGAAAAGACAAAAACGAAGAGAAAAAAAAGAAAGAAACTGTGATTTGCTATAAACAGAATCTCAACTATTTAGAGTGGGGATTTTCTTTTCTTTTCATTATTATTTTCTGGTGATTTTGCATTTAGAAAAGTATAGTAAAGTGTGTTTGCCAGGATGAAATTATTTTTTTAGTCTGTATGCAAGAAAAGCTAAAATTATGAATTATTTGCCAAGAAAATGTGCTTTTGCTAAGTAGCACCTCTTTTGCAAAATACTGAACCAGGAAATATAGATTTTAAATTAGTAAAGTATGTCCTTGCAGGAAGGGTTGTTGTGCAACATGGGTCACCCGTCTGTGCTGTGTTGGTGCCCCCACACACACACGCACGCACACACACACACACACACACACACACACACACACACACACACACACACACACACACACACAC